AAAAAAAAAAATAATAAGCATAGTGAAGGGAGGTCGACAATTCTATTTCATTAACCACCTGATTTAACTCGTTAAGTAGAGCCGATTAAATGGATGGTGGGGTGGATGGTGCTATGCTTGGGGTGCTGGTTGTTTTTAGGAACGAATAGCACTCCTGAAAAGGACAGAAGAAACCGATGGCTTTGTTCCTCTGGCCCCAGTATAACCAGCACAAAGCCAAGTTTGGCTTCAAATGTGAGCTCCCACAGGAAAATTATCCCTAGGCAATGGGCCAGATACATAAGAACCTTGTAATTACATGGGGTTGAATTGAAGTTTTTGACCAATTGTCACTGCTCCACTGGTGTCCCGAGTGAGGCTGAGCCCACTCAAGCTGGGTGCACTCCTCCATCAGACTTAATGGTTCCTGTGTCTGAGGCCTCCCTGCTGCTCCATGGGTCAGGTGTCCCCTGCCCTCAGGGGCAGGTTCCAGGTTCAGTCACTGCTTTCAATGTAGTCTGGGCTGTCCCACCATCATCCTGCCTGGATGAGGGTATAAAAGAGAGAACACGTGCCATTACCACCAGTGACAGAAAAACAGCAAAGTGTATAGGAAGTAGGGTGGCAGGGAGGACCACTGGAATGGCAGCTGCAGTTCCAAACTTCAATCAATATTTTAATTACCAAGTCTATATTTAGCAAGACACCGTGGGAGAGTTAAAGAGCAAGGAAGGAGTAGGTGGAGAGAGGGCCTCAGAGGAGCTGACCCACTTTCTGCACTGGCTGCAGAGCCCTGCAGTCCTGGCCAGGGGTTCCTGGCCTTGTGCCCTTCAGAAGCCCCAAGAGGCATCAGGGAGTTGCTTAAGTGGCTACAGCTCTGAGGCAGCTGCAGACCCCATCAAAAAGACACAGGTCATCAATACTGTTCTTTAATCTTCCTCTGCTCCGAAGATGGGGGGAGAGGGGGCCGGCCAAGGGTTTCAGGTGGGGTCAGTGTGACTGCAGGGTCACCATAACAGCCTTGGCTGTGGCATTGAGCACGGTGGCAGGAAGCCTAGCAGCAGGGAGCGCGGCAGGGATGTCTCTGGGGACCCTCTGCATAGGCGGGATGTTGGGGCCCTCCAGCGTGTCCAGGATCCCTGAAAGGAGGAGAATGGAAGGTGAGAGTTGGCTCGACCCTGCCCGAGGAAGCTGTTCCCTTCTTCCCCCACATTCAGGCCCTCCTGTCACTTACCCTCTACCACCTTGTGGTAGGCAAAATGCAGATAGAGCAGGAAAAGCATGTGTAGGGCGGCCAGGGTGCCACAGAGGAGCAGCCGCTGTGTGGGGCCCACAGTCCGTGACACCAACACTGCCACCTAGGGCCACAGGAATACAGCTCAGAGGGCCTAGCTCCAAAGTGAGCAGTGTGGAGAAGACACTCCTACCCAGAGCGGAACCACTTTTGGGCTCTTAGCCATTTGGAGCCCTTTGTGGGGTTCAGCCCAAGGTCTGGACGGTTTTCCCTAACTCCCTGGGAGGTTAGCCCACCCTTGGCAACCTCTTGCCCAGCTTACCATGCGTAGAGTAGACAGTCCACCCACCAGCAACCAGAAGAGGTAGAAGAGGGCATGGAGGTGGATGTTATAGGTGATGAACAGGACAATGCAGTGCCCAAAGAGGCCATAGCCCTAGGAAAGAAAATGGTGGGGAGGAAAATCACTCAGGCCGGGCTGGCCTCTGAGCTCTCATGGAGACTCTGAGAAATAAATGATCCACTGGCCAGCTCATCCCATTCCAGGCCCTGGGGCCCTAGGACAGATGCAGAGCAAGGCCTGGCTGCTCTTTTTAAGACCACCCTTGCCCACCACCATGCTGGACTCCTTACCAGCAATGCCAGCATCTGGAGCATGGTGATCTGGGCGTTGCACAGGTAGGCGAGGAAGTAAATGAAAGACGAGACACCCAGCCAGTAGCCGAAGCAGGTGCCAATGGCTGTACCCATCAGGGTGCCCTCCCGCTGTGGGGTGAAGGCTCTGCTTAGTCCTGGGAGGCCTCTGGACTCAGCCTCACCTAGGGCTTTCCTCAGGGGCTGCTTCTACCTCACTCCATCGTGGGCAGCTTTCAACTTAGTTCAGCCACCCCCCAAAGTCCTTTGTCCTGCTTACAATAATGGTGTCAGATGTCTTCATCCCATGGAGGAGGATGGCAACCAGCGTGAAGACCAGCATGAGAGGTCCATAGAGTTCACCTGCGATTTTCTGTCAATATACCAACTCATTCAGGCTGGAGGGTACAATGGCTCTTCTGTTTATGTCTTCCTTGGCTTTGCCTGGTGGCCCCACCCTCTGCCCTCGTGCCTCCCCCAGCTCTTCCAGACATGCTACCTTGGGTATTCACCTGGGGGAAGTTGACCATCTTGACAGGGATCATGGACTCCAGGAGCCTGGGAGAAGAGGGGAGAGGAGAGATGAGTAGCCCTAGGCTATGAAGTTCTGGAGGGCCTGAATCTTATTACATCTCTAACTCCAGAGAACATGCTAGATGGCAAAGGGAAAAGAGGGTAGTAAAGACAGACAAGGAATGAGAAAATAACTTCCTTATCCCTAAAAATGCTCCCAGGAAGGACATCCTTCGGATACTGTGCTAACATGCAGAAGCAATATGGAGAACTCAGAAAGCCCACCTGGGCCTTGTGAGAGGGCTTGGCGATTTACCTATTTGACCTGCTCCCCTTTAAAGACAGGCAAACCTCAGCAGAGAATGCCAAGAATTCAGGGCTGTGATGATGAAGCCCTGGGAGAGGTTTAGAGGGAAAGGTTTACTGGAGGGAACCAGTGTGTCTCCTGCATCTTCCTGCTTACCAATTTCTCCAGGCACCACTGAACATCGTCTCGGAAAGTACATGTGAACTGGTATGAAAACTCCACACAGAAGGAATAAAAGTACAAGTCACTTCTGCCCACTTCTTAGGTGGCCAACTTTTAATAATACCTTGGATTGTGGCTTCATTTTACTTCCTTTGGAAAACCTATCCTGTCCCACCCTCTACCTACTCTGGGTCAGGTGTCCCTTCTGTGTGTTCCATCAGAGCAAATAAATGCTCTATTGTAACTGCACTCGAAGGCAAGGCTCCCAGCATCTTCACCCTCTGTCTTCAATGAGACCTAAGTATTACAGGGCCCAGCACAGAGCAAATGCTTAATAAATGGCTGCTAAGTGGTACTGGGTATTTGATAAATATTGCTTAAATTAAAGGATGAACAAAAGATCCAAACCAAAATTAGATCCACTTCTTGAAAAGTCATTCAAAACTATGTGCTGATATTGTGGTTCAGAGACTGTTCTGGTGGTGGGAATAAAAAAAATAAATAAAATAAAACTGAGCTTGTTTCTGAGGTCTCTGGGGAGACTGACCCGGAATCAGCATCGCCCAAGTGTCACCTGTTAGAGGAAAGCACAGAGTTCTGTAGGAACACCAGGAGAGGACAAACTGGGAATGGGGTTGAGGAATGGGGGACAGAGGTGACATCTGAGCTAGGTGTTGAGAGAAGAAGAGTAGTTTGCTACACAAGGAAGAGGAGGAAGGCAATGTGTTATCACCATGTCCTGTTCTGTGACTGGTAAGACATACAGTGTAGCTGGGGTACAGGTGCAATGATGAGGGCTGGTGGGGCCATGAAGAGGGGAGCCTAAGGGCTTGGTATCTGGTTGTGGTTTGGATGAAGGATTAGGTGTTAGGAGAAGGATCCTCACCTGCTTCGCACCTGGGCAGGCTCCACATCAAAGTAGGGTCTCAGGATGTCGATGTTGGCGTACAAGCTGAAGGCCCTGGAGGCTTGTCTCTTCCCTGCCTGCCACATCTGAAGTAAGGAAGACAGAAGTGGGGTGGGTTGGGATTGTGAGACCCTAGACTATAGTCCCCGTTGCTTATTTTCCATTGGATTTCTACATGGTTCTATGGGGTCAGACAACGCGGGGTGAGCTTCAACACAACTTCAGAACTTGCAGCCTGCCTAGGCATACTTTTCCACCTGCTAGGGATCCAGTCTTGCTTACCTGATCAGCCACCTGCCGGCTCAGCTGTCCCTTGAAGCCCTTCATGCCCAGGAACTCCCCATCCTCCTCTTCCGCAGCAGCTGCATCGGCATCTACTTCTTCCTCGCGCAGGCGCTGATGCAACTCACCCATGTCCTCGAAGCTGGAGCCTGAGGTATCATCCATGTTCTCCATGTCAATCACAGCTGAGCCTCCACCCTGTGAAGACAATGGCTTCTGGAGTGCAAGATCTTTCTGCTCCACCTGTACGTCCTCCTATTGGTCGCAGGGTTTGGGACTTTGTTAGTCCACTGCTGGGGATATGGCTTGGAATCGCCATAGATCAGGCCGCTCTCTTTCCCTCATTTGCTCTCAGAATGCTTGGTTGTCTGGTTCTCTTTTCTAGCCTGGGAAACCCATTCCCTGTCTTGCATATATGTCTTTCTTCTACCTTCCCAGTTAAATTCTCAGAGGGCTGCAAAAGTACCCATTTCCTTTGTCTTTTCCAACCCCCAAACCAGGCTGTGCACGCAGCATGGTTTTAGCCAGTGCCAGTGAATACCGCCCGCTCCCTCGCCATGCCTGACCCCGATCGGCCAACACAAACTTGTCTGGAAAGCAAGAGCAGGGGGGCGCAGAGAGCTGAGGCCCTCTGGCTGGACCTTTCAGGTCGGCACTAGTCCCACAGACTTTCGTGTATACCAAGATCCAAAGGAGGGAACAAGTGTTGCAAATGGAACAGATTTCCAAGCTCCGAGGGAGAGTCTCCACGACACCTCAGGGCGATTGCCAGCCCCGGGGCTGGTAGCAGCCGGAGCCTTGGGGCGATTACCTGGATATTTTCTTCGAACCCTCCCCATTCCGGACCAGCCCCGCTTCGGGCGCCGCCGGCCGGCGCCGCTGTAGTTGCCATGTCCCTCGAGGGCTCCCGTCACTGAAGCCCGCGCTAGTCCAGCGCGCGGAGGAGTGGGAGAGACGCGGGCCTGAAGAAGGGAGATGTCCAGGGGCGAGAAAGAGAGGTGAGTTCAACCGGAACGCAAAAAGGAGAAACCCGGATGTTTGGCCAAAACTTCCGGAAGCTGGGGACGTGGACGGAGTCTGGGCAGAGTCTCGCGATACTTAGATCCCGGGTGTGTTGCCACGGAGACGGAGGTGGGGGCGCGCGCGCGCCAGTTTGCTGCCCTAGTCACGTGGAGGGGTTGAAGATGGCGGCTGCTCAGGCGGTGGAAGAAATGCGGACCCGCGTGGTTCTAGGAGAGTTCGGGGTTCGCAATGTAAGCCTATGGCCTTGAACTCGGGAAGGAAAAATGAGAGTGGGACAGGGATGGGGTGGGGTTGGGCGGGCTTGCCTTACCTGCCCTTTCGCAGACTCCCGTCTTTTTGCTCTAGGTTCATACCACTGACTTTCCTGGTAACTATTCGGGTTATGATGATGCCTGGGACCAAGACCGCTTCGAGAAGGTACGTGGATTTGGAGAGGGTGTTAAGAACCGACCGTGTATCTGGGCAGCCTGTGCCTCAGAAGCAGCCCTTGTGGTATGCTCCGTTCCTAAAACGTTTGAGCAATGTGCTAAGGCGCTTCGTGTACACGGTTTCTGCCCTGTGCGAGGAGCAAGATGTTTAGTCTTGTGGGAGAAGAACGTACGTAAGTGATTCCAGTGTAATGCGGTAAAGGCGGTTGATAGAGATAAGGACAACCGGGGATGGGGTGATCCCACAAAGGCACTTAATCTAGAAGGGGAATGGGGTTGGGGGCAGCGGTATGGAAGATTTACTTCCTGAAGAAGATGACATCTGGATTGAGCCCTGATGAGTAGAATCTGAGAACAGGGAAGGGTGAGGAGGGACTAAGACTAGAAGCGAAATTATAAAGGCTTTGTGAACTGTGTTCCAGGAACGTCCAAGCAGTTTATTATTGCTAGAATGTAAAATGGGGAGCATGAGTGGTAGGCAAGATTGAAGTGCATCTTAGACCCTGTAAGTAATAGGGAGTGTTTGAAGAGCTCTGAAGTGGACATGATCTGCAGCCTAAATGATTGGGACAGAACGAATTGAAGATCCAATAGGGCAGTCAGATTTGTGACAGAATTGCATAGAGGAACTGAGGTTGAAAACATGAACTAAGATTGTAATCAGGAAAATAGAGCAAAAGGGATATAGAAGGTAAGTTTGATAATTGCTTTGGTGTGGGCTTTGAGGAGGAAATATAAACGGACCTAATTTGAGGAGCTGCTTTGATGGCTGGTGGTGTCATTTACTGATGAGAAATAGATCTAGGGGAAGGGAATGATGCTGCATTTAAGTTTCCTATATATGGAGAAGTTTAGCAGGCTAGTACTAGGTGTGTTTGAAATGTGATCAGAAGTGAGATATAATTTGGGGTTTTTTAGTATATGTGGTTGTTAAAACCATGAGTGTGATTGAGGTCATCTTGGAGAGAGACAGAAAAACCTGGGAAATAGTGACATTGGTGAAGTGAGTAGAAGAAAGTGAATTTAGAAGGATTCGTCAGAGAAGGAGGAAGAGAACCAGAAGATTGGTACTCAGAAGTCAAGGCAGAGTTCGAAAATGAAGGGATTCTATCAATGCTGAATGCAGCAGAGAAGTCTAGTAGGATAAGGATTGAGTAATGTCAACTCCATTAAGCAGTATGGAAGCCTATTCTCTAGTAGAATAGTTTCTGAGGATAGTTGGGCTGGAAGCCACATTACAGAGAATTTTACGTAAGTAGAGGATGAAAACAGGGAAACTTTTCAAGAGCCTAATAAGGGATTGGGGGGGAAAGGAACATTTATCAGGGACACCTGGTCAAAGGGAGGTTCTTGGGTGAGTGCGAATGTTAATACACTGGGAGGAATGTCCAGGGGGGAAGGTGTTGACTCCAGAGAGCAGGCTTCATTTAGTGCTTTTTCTGTCCCCGCAGAATTTCCGTGTGGATATAGTGCACTTGGATGAAAACTCATTGGAGTTTGACATGGTGGGAATTGACGCAGCCATTGCCAATGCTTTTCGGCGCATTTTATTAGCTGAGGTATTTATTTTGGTGACAAAGGTGGAGTTGCGTGGGAAACTGTGACATCACCATACTTGTAGAATTGTCTCAAGGTGCCCCTTTCCTTTAGTTTTCTTGCAGTTTTGCTGAACATTCCTCATACACTTTTTACTAAGCAATTCTTCTTTTAGGAAGAGGTCCCCCTGTCAGGAAGTGGGAGTAAATGGGGAATCTGTAGGGTCTTTGTTGGAGAACGATTCTGTTTTCTTGGGCAGGTGCCAACCATGGCTGTGGAAAAGGTCCTGGTGTACAACAACACCTCCATTGTCCAGGATGAGATCCTTGCTCATCGCTTGGGGCTCATTCCCATTCATGCTGATCCCCGTCTTTTTGAATATCGGAACCAAGGTGAGAGAGAAAATGAAATTTTGGGAAAATGGGAGCAGCTCTTTTCTGAAGTAGATTCTGGAGTCATACTGCCTGTGTTCAAATCCTGGATTGATTACTGTATGACCTCGAGCAAGTTACTGATCTTTTGGTGTGTATCTGTTCTTATCTGTGTGAACACTTGCCCTTGCCTACTGTAACTTGTCCGGAAGACTAAATGATAAATTTAAGTTAATGCACTCAGCATAGTGCCTAGCACCCAAATGTTCAGTAGTTCTTTAACAGCTTCTACTTTCTCCCTTTGTGCAGGAGATGAAGAAGGTACAGAGATAGATACTCTACAGTTTCGGCTTCAGGTCAGGTGCACTCGGAACCCCCATGCTGCTAAGGATTCCTCTGACCCCAATGAACTCTATGTGAACCATAAAGGTAAGTAGTGGTAGGGCGAGCAAGAGGCCCACTTCTTGGTAGGTGCTGGTTTTAAGGAGTGAGGCTTTTCTGATGTGCTTCTTTCCCCAGTGTACACCAGGCACATGACATGGGTGCCCCTGGGGAATCAGGCTGACCTCTTCCCAGAGGGCACGATCAGACCAGTGCATGATGATATTCTCATCGCTCAGCTACGGCCTGGCCAGGAGATTGACTTACTCATGCACTGTGTCAAGGGCATTGGTAAGAACTTTGTTGGCTGTCCTGGGCAGAGTGGTTTGATTACAGTAGAGTGAGGTGTGACTGAAGGGCTCAGCTGAGATGTCCTAACAAGGAGCAAGCTGGTGGGCCTCTGCCGTTAGGGGTTTGTAGAATGTGAAGGTTTCCCCCCAGGCTGTTTTACTCTCTTCCCTCCAGGCAAGGATCATGCCAAGTTTTCACCTGTGGCAACAGCCAGTTACAGGCTTCTGCCAGACATCACCCTGCTTGAGCCTGTGGAAGGGGATGCAGCGGAGGAGCTGAGGCGGTGCTTCTCGCCTGGTGTTATTGAGGTGCAGGAAGTCCAAGGTATGACATTTGGGATACCCGTTCAGGTCAGGACCTAAAGTATATTTCCTGTGAAGGTAGCATAAGTGAAAGCTCTGGGCTCGTGTATTTAGAACACGGTTTGTTTTCACTAGGTAAAAAGGTGGCCCGAGTTGCCAATCCCCGGCTAGATACCTTCAGCAGAGAAGTGTTCCGGAACGAGAAGCTAAAGAAGGTTGTACGACTTGCTCGAGTTCGGGACCACTATATCTGTGAGTGTCAGGTTGGGGGCGTAGGGTGAAGTGGGGCAGGTCTTTGGTGCTGCCGCTTCTTTGTAGAGTCCAGATGTAGAATCTGCGTAGCTTAATACGGGAGCTTTTGCGAGCCCTGCCTGAGCTGAAGTGTCTCTTTGGTTTCCAGTTTCTGTCGAGTCAACAGGGGTGTTGCCGCCAGAGGTGCTAGTGAGTGAAGCCATCAAGGTACTGATGGGGAAGTGCCAACGTTTCTTGGATGAACTAGATGCAGTTCAGATGGACTGAGGTTTGCATGGGACTTACCGGCATGGCTGTGCTTGGATACTCAAGTATCCTAGCTGAAGATTTTGGGTCCTGACTTGCTGGTCACAGGACTGCTAGAGTCCAGTGTGACTGCAGGTCCTAGGTTTTCTGGGACAATCCCAGCCTTATTTTCAGTCAATACATTTTGTTAAATGTGCCACAAAATGTGACTTCCTGCCTTTGTAAGGCCTTAATGTAAATAAACTCACATCCAAATAAAAAATCTTTTTGCCAGAGACTACTTCCAGAGTTTTAGCCCCAATATATGGGGCCTCACCTTAGAGGTTTGGCATTATTTGGCACTTAGGAACACAGGGTTCGGGTGTTACTGCAGGTCAGGGCCAAGTCCTCTGAAGCCTCATCAGAGATACCAGGGGTGTCTGGGAGGCTCAGTTGAATGTCTGATTCTTGGTTTTGGTTCAGGTCCTGATGCCAGGGTTGTGGGATCAGGCCCCGCGTTGAGCTCTGTGCTGAGGGTGGAGCCAGCTTAAGATTCTCTCCCCTCCTCTGCCCTTCTCACCTGCTCACACGCTCAGGTAAAACAAAACAAAAAAACCTACCAAATTGAGGTGGTCTTTGGGGGCTCAGCCAGACCACAGAAAATTGTTTGCGCCACTTAATCCGTTTCCTAGATTACTACAAGTTTCTGAGGAAAAGGGGTGGTCCGTACCCATCAAGTCACATGGCTATCAGGTGTCACACAAGGAGGGATGGGTACCTAGCTGCCTCAGTTGGTAGAGCATGCCACTCTCGTTCTCAGGATTGTAAGTTCGTGCCCCATGTTGGGTGTAGAGGCTACTTAAAAATAAAATCTTTTAGGGGCGCCTAGGTGGTTCAGTTGGTTAAGCATCTGACTTCCACTCAGGTCGTGATCTCAGTTTGTGAGTTCAAGCCCCACATCAGGCTCTGTGATGACAGCTCAGAGCCTGGAGCTGCTTTGGATTCTGTGTCTCCCTCTCTCTCAGAAATAAATAATAGAACATTAAAAAAAAAAAAAAAATCTTTTAAAAAAAGTGACACAAGGAACAGCAGCAGTTCCATTTGGACAGTCCCTCAGAGTCCAGTCTAGGGCCACAGAAAACACTGGGAGAGCGGTATGGGCTGCTTGGTCTAGGTCTGTCAGGAATAGAGGTCTTTTTCTGGCTGGCATGCTGTTTGAGAAAGCTTGACAGCAGGTTCATGGTCACAGTTCTTCCTGTCCAGTCCCTTTAGCAGGATGCTCCGGAGCAATGACCTTAGAGTATGTCACTGGTTTGAAAAAGGCAGATGGGGACCTTTCTGTATGAAACTGAGATTTTTACTGACATGCAGATGTGCTTTAGAGTTAATGTTTCTACAAAAAGGTTCTATAAACAATAGAAAACTTCTAGCATGAAGTCACAGGATGTTAAAAATACTACAGCACAATAAATACAACTGTGCCCTCCACAGCCCCAACCATAGAGAGGAGTAGGCAGCCATCAAGTTTGGAGGGAAACATGCTTTGAGATGGCCTTCATAGTCAACAGGAAGCACCCCAAAGCACCACCCGGAAAGAGGGCATGAGGCAAACCTGTGCCATAGAAACAGCTACATAGAACTTCCAAGTCCCATTTCCCCAGGTTGGCCTCTTTCCGACCCTGCCCAGGGACCACCAGCTCACAGGTGGAGCTTGAGCCCAGGCTGTTCTGCACAGTCCTTACCAAAACTGTCATCAGTGGACTGGATTGAGGACAGGTCTCTACAGAATGCAGACATACTCTATATGGTTTCTGTATAAATGAAGCCTGTATATGGCCAGTAGTGACCTCAAGGCTAGAGTCTTGCATTCACATCCCCTCTGCTTACAGGGCCATCTAGTGACCTTGAGAACAGAGTGGAGCCTCACAATACAGATTGTGACAGGAAGGCATATTTTTTCTTCTGGAAATGGTCCATGAGAGAAGTGACCAGGGACCCAAAAGACCAGGAGATTTTTGAAGGCACCTGGACTCAACTAGTCCTAGGAGAGAAGACCAGTGGCTTTGCCAGCTGCTTGTCACAGACATAGCCTAGCTGGTGTGTATTATCCTCAGATGCCAATGGCATCACGTGACACTAGATAGGGTACTGTGGCTCTTATGCCTGAGTGGACCCTGGGGCTGGGGAACCCACACTGAGGGGCTGTGCATGGAATACGTATGAGCTCTATAAGGGGATGCCAGAAAGTACTCCAGAGAGTGGCCCAGCCCTGGTCCCTGATGGTACCACACTTGACACTGCATTCAGAGCCTAGCAGTAGTCTGTACCATGGATCCCATCAGGTGACCAGATTCTTGCTCAAAACAGAAAGGAAACTGGCCAGATTCAGTTCAGCACTCAGCACCTGACCCAGACATGCCCCTGAGGGATGGGGAAGGTTTTCCACCAGCCCAGCAGCAAAGGGACTCAGTGGGGCTTGCAGTGGCCCAGGCGAAACTCTGGCGTAAGCAGTGCGGGACCAAGCCCTTGTGCAAGCCCCGCTAGTCTCAGTGTTGGGTGTAGCACCCCTAGTGACCCCTCTACACAGGTGTATGGCTACATGGGGATGGGAGGGCTTGGGGAGTAGGGCCAGTCTGCTCTAGCTTTTCTTTCTTAGAAAAGGTGAAACTCCAAGTAGAATGATGGGAGATCTAGACAGAATGGTGTGAGCGCAAACTCCCTTTCTTGATACCTTAGGTATCATTACTTGTGCCTTGCACAGAGCCCACTCTCTCCAGCTCCAGACCTGGATTTCTCTCCAGGCTGACAATGGTGGAAAGTGAAGTGGCGGTGGAGAGGGGCCTAGAGATTAGCTATGAAGGGGAAGAAGAGATGACAATATAGGCCAAGGAAGAATGCCCAAAAGTTTGATTCAGGGTTCAAAGATGGTGGCCAGGCCGCCCTCCTCGTTGTCCAGCACCTCCGTCTCCAGCATTGGCTTTGTTTTTTTGAAAAGTGAGGGAAGATTCTTAATGTGGACTTCTTTGCGGAACTGTTCTCCTAAGGGTTTCTGTGGAAAACAAAGGAAAAGAATTGATGCTGGGCCCCGAGTAGTGGGTTGTTTCAAAGATTATGACTACAGCTGGCGTCCGGTCTGCCTGTACACATGGTCTAAGAAGACCACTAGGGTAGGTCAAGCTGGTTGGGAGCACCAGGGAAGGCGCATGACCTACCCCGATGCAGCCAGCAATGAGGCGTTTGAATTGGTCCTTCCGGCGCTTGTCCGCCACTTTCTGCAGAGAGGGGTTCAACAGCTTGCAGTCAAACTGGTCCAGAGAGTCCTTCTGTATGTCTGGGATCTGCTCCATCACAGCTCTTATCTCCAGGTACCTAGGACGCTGTGGAGTGGGGATATAAAACCACTCAATGGGGTAGGTTGGGCTTTGCCACCTTTCCTATGACCCCACCACACCCACCTCTTCGGGCAGCTGTCTACTTTTATGAAGTCCCAACTGCCTGGGAGCAGGCCCCTCAACATGAAGCTGCAGCCAGCCCTGCCTCTGTGCTTTCTGCACTCACCAGTGCCTCGTATATCTGGAAGGCCAGGTGGACCAGGGAAGCCATGCAGCCGTCGTGCTGCCCGTGTGTCTGTAAGCCCTTCAGCACGCTGGTGAAAAGCCATGTAACGGCATCTGCGAGCAGTGTCCCCGACAGCACCTGGGGACACAGCTGTGCTCAGGGCCAAAGGATTACTCTCTGAAAGCCCCAGCAACCCGATTCTTCCAACTGATTGAGTCAATCCTCATGACCCCAGCCTTTCATAAGGAGTGAGAAGGGGTGAATAACCATACTTGTTTGAGCAGAGGCCAGCAGAGCTGTGTGGTCGTCCTCTGACAGGACAGAGTATCCTTCCAAGCAAGGGAATTGAAGGCTGTAATTAATAGCGCCGTACAAACATCCTAGCAGAAAAGGATGAAGGATTACAATGAGAAAATTTACACATTAATTTTCTGAGTATTCCTATACATGAGGAGCTGGGATTTTAACAGGTGAGGAGGAACATGACAAAAATAGCAACTGAGGACAAACTTACTTCCTCTCTATGTATATCAAGCAGTCAAAAAGAAGAAAAAACCACCAATATAGAAGTGAAAACCAATGTGCAAGGAGACCAAGCTCAGGCCTGGGGGAGGCTGAACACCACAGTGTGCCCGTGTGTTTTTCTGAAAGTCTCTGCCCATGCTAGCATGGGAGACACCTTGACCTTTTCTACTGCTTTCTGGAAGCTTTAGGAACCAGGAAGTTAATAAAGCAGCATTAGCCCCCCAAAATTCTTTGATGGCATCACAGATTGAGAAAAGTGGAAACTGGTGCCATACCAGGAAAGGAGAAAAACATCACCTGTCCCCTCCACACACCTCATGCTTCATTAGACATTTGCCCAGGTCTGTAAGCTCCGCCATGGCTGAGGGGGCTACCTCTGTGGCCATCATCTCTTCATCTGTAAGCAGAGAGATATTAAGCTTCATTCTTTCAGAACAGAGGATCCTGTTCTGATAGAAGTCCACCAAGTAAAGGAAACCTGAGTAACCTGGGCTGACTGGTAAGTAAGTAGTCCTGGACAGCCCCCCAACTTCATGGAAGGGTGTAGAAGCCCAGCTCATGGCAGGTCTAGAGACACGTCTGGCTGCAGTCAGTTACGCATCCAACTTCCACTCAGGTCATGATCTCACGGTTCATGAGTTTGAGCCCTGTGTCAGGCTCTGTGCTGACAGCTCGGAGCCTGGAGCCTGCTTCAGATTCTGTGCCTCCCTCTCTCTCTGCCCCTCCCCCACTCACACTCTGTCTCTCTTAAAAAAATAAACAAAAACAAAAACAAAAGAGAAAATAGTGGGAAACTCTGGACAGTTACTTAAAAATGAGGACCCCACTGTAGCAGACACTTAGTTACTGGGGATGTAACAGGAATAGGAAAAAGTCCCTTCCCTGATAGTTTACATTCTAATGAGGAAGACAGGTGACAAATGAACAAGTGAAATAAAACAATGTCAGGCAGTGATAAGTCCTATGAAGAAAAATAAAGCAAAGGAAGAATAAGCGTGGCTGGGTTGTTTTTTATGTTTTATTTATTTTTTGAGAGACAGAGGGAGAGAGGGAGAATGGGTGGGGGAGGGGCAGAAAGAGGGACAGAGGATCTGAAGCTGGTTCTGCGTGGATAGGCTGACAGCAGCGAGCCCAACATAGAGCTCGAACTCACAAATGACAAGATCATGACCTGAGCTGAAGTCGGATGCTCAACTGACTGAGCCACCCAGGCACCCCACTAGTTTTTATAGGTTGGTTATGGAACACCTCTCAGAGGTGACAACTGAGCAGAGTATCTGAATGAAGCAGGGGAACAGGCCACGTATACAGTTGGGAGGAAAATTATCCTAATAGAGGAAATAGCAAGTGCAAAAGCTCTGAGGTGGGAGTATGCCGGAGGAACACAGGAAAAGAGCCAACAGAGAGAAAAGCTAGATGTACATCTCACCCACCCCAAACTGCTAGTTCTACAGGAACTGACCTGGCTACAAAAGGGATGATATTTAGGAGTCCTAAGGGCAGACCTCTGAGGGCCAAACAACAAGCTCACTTACCATCTCCTTCTGTAGGGGGAGCAGTACCATGGTCAGCACCTTTCTTTGAAACACAGCATACCGCTAAAGCAAGAAAGTGGGGTTACTGGACTGAACAATAGCCACCTCAGGCCAATGAATTCCAAACGGTCTTCAGGCAGGTGAAGATGGGGGAAAGTGGGTCACTGTCCAGGCACAAAATCACTTTTACCAGGAGAAACAGAGGTGTTTGACCAGACTGCTCTGGTCCCTCTTTAAGTTCAGCTAACTAGAGAGAAATTATAGGATTCTCGGAGAGTAAGTGACCAAAAGAGGAAGCCTGATACATCCTTGGTCTATTTTGGATCCCAAACAAATGAAATGACCAACAAAGAAAATTGGGCATCTTCATGTCTAAGAATTAAGAATTCTCCATATTCTGACAAAACTAGGAAGTTACCCCTACCATTAATCGAAATTCCTCTTGCTTTGCAATTCGTAGAATGTCCTTAAGTTGATTTGACTACCTGGTTTCTATCTAATTATTTCTTAATTAATCTGTCAGTATTGCTGTAAAACATGCCTTAAGGGAATTGGGTGAGTGACCAGTTCTTCTTCTAGAAAAAGTCTTCTCTACTACCCCTAATTCCCATATGCCACTTACTGATTAGGTCCATGACTTCTCGGGTTAACATCCTCACCAGTTGTTCCTCTAACATCTCTTGAGACTCTGGGTTTTCATCTGCGGTCTCATCTTCTCCACTGCAGAAAAGCAGGGGGCCAAGTTCCATGGGAGTGCAAAAGGGAAGGTCAAGGAAAACAGTGACCTTAACCAGACCCTCTGTGCTCCTTTCCTTCTCCTGGCTCCCTTTGGTCTACATTTCACACAAATGTTGGGAACGGACAGCAACGATCCACTGAGGAAGACATTATTTGACAATATCCAGTTGGATAGAGGTCCTGGATCAAAATCCAAAGTGGATAAGGATGTCTCAGTATCCTCCTAAGGCAGCTGAAGATGCCCCCTATGAAGACTTGACCTGAGTATGCCTAATGGTCACAGACAAGCCATCTACCATCCAGGCTGAGGATGACCATAACCTAGTGCTTTCTAGCCTTGAATGGCAGAACTTCCCCTTCCCACTGTCTCTCATCTCCCACCCCAAAGCTGGCTGCCAGTACTTCCACAGGAGGAGAGATGTTCCTTACCACAGCAGGCTCCTCTGGTTGATGACGTGCCATTTTTGGGAAAGCCTCTGGGAAAACAAAAGGGAAATAAATGGCAGTAGTGGTGAGGAGGTTGGAACACACAATATCTAAGTCCACTTCATGATTAGAATTAGCCAAGGATGATTCTAGATCTCAATGACAGAGCCCTGGGAGACCCCATAAGGTAAACAATGTGACGAGGACAGTGTACGAAACACTTCTTTGCTTCAAAAGGATCAACAATACTATAGAATTCCCAGGTCTCTCTGGACACATCTGTTCTCCACCCAGCTGGTCCTCCTGCTTAATTCCACCATCAGGGAAACAGACCCAGGGGAAGCACTCCCCTGACCACCTCTCCTCAGTTAATAGGAGGTCAGGAGCAGAAGTGGAGTCTGCAGGTCTTCAAGGGCAACCAAACCAGTTTAGTTCTCGGGGGTGCTCAATCCACTGCAGCACGGAAAGTCTGCTGGAGTGGGACAGCTGTGTGGCCATCTGGACAGAGCCAGGAAATACTTTCAGGAACTCCTGACTTGCAAGACGCATGAGAGGCCAACCTGCCCAAGAGGCCTCTATGCTATCCTTTCTGACCGATCTCTTACCATGTGGAGGTAGGTGAAAAGAGGTCCAAGGATTGGAGACACCAGGGCTTCATAGTGCTCTGGGGGACAGAAGAGCACCAGAGGCTTCACAAAGACCCATGCCGCGGCAGGTTAAGAAGTTTTAGAACATGAGCACATACCCCTCCCATTCCAAGGCATCCCCTCACCTGCCAGGCTGGAAACCTGCCAGGCAGCAGGCTATGCCCTCGGGCAGAGTCAACCCCCAAAGGACCTGCAAGATGCCATGGACATTCTGTCTTAACAGGCAAAACTCTTCAAGCTCTTTTCCAGAAATCCCAGGCTGCCCATTATGGGCACTTATTTGCCTGGAAGGAAAAAAGAAGAGGGACACCTTCATAATAAACTCTCTTTTACCATTCTCCTTGTAACTTCTGGGAAGAGAGATACTCTTGAAAACAGAAAAGAGTCCAAATGAGAATGAAGTATGAGGAGGCACCTGACAGGATACAGAAAAGAGATAAAAGCTTTTATCTTTCACATTTCCAAGAAGTGGGATGGTCAAGATCTACCCCTCAGGAGAACACTTTCAAGACCCCTGGACTGCCTTCATATTTTTCCTGCCGTTTATATGAATCTTTTTTTCTCTTTAATGTGGTTATCACACACATAGATAAAGGATTCCATCTATTCCACACTGCTCAGCTCTGCCTCCTCCGGTGTCTGACAGCTGTTCCTGTCTTCAATCTTCTGGCCCTCTGGGTTTTCTAGGGACTTTGGAAAGGATATGAAGCATGGGTCTGAGTCGGTAGTCGGGAATATTGTTCAAGTTGACAAAGGCCGAGCTGAGGAGCTGAGTAGCAAGGTGCTCCACGGTGTAAAAGTCCTGCTGCATGGAAGGACCTGCCTTCCCTAGGATATGGAAACTGTAAGGGAAAAACCACAGCATTTACATCCCACATTTGTTATTATTAGCTCTGAATGCCCCAGGAATTTCTAGTCTACACTTCTCAGCTAGAAAAGAAACTGCATTTACTCCTTAAGAGAACTTAAGCTTAATCAGTAACACACCCCTCACCCACCTTTAAGCTTAGACATTTGATAGATGTTTATTTATTTTGAGAGAGAGCACGAGAGCATGTTTGAGTGAGGGAGGGGCAGGGGGAAGGACAGAGGGAGGGAGGGAGGGAAGAGAGAGGGAGAGAGAGAGAGAAAGAGAGAAAGAGAAAGAGAAAGAGAAAGAGAAAGAGAAAGAGAAAGAGGAGAAAGAAAATCCCAAGCAGGCTCTGTGCTGTCAGTGCAGAGCCTGACATGGGGCTCGATCCCACGAACCATGAAATGATGACTTGAACTGAAACCAAGAGGTGGATGCTCAACTGACTGAGCCACCTAGGTGCCCCGATGTAGCATCTTTTTAAAGACAGATGTTGGCACCCAAGAGCAACAATAGCAATCATTACTTCATAAGCAATATGGATTGTCAATGAAGATTCTCTTTTTGTTAGCTTGGCTGATTGGAGCGGTGGGTGACTAAGGACAATGCCTGGAGTGTGGTGTGCTACAGGAGGGCAAGTTACCTCCCCATCCTACAACCAGGACCCAAAGACAAAGTCCGGCTAGCTGCCTCCAGAGGCAGCCTGGGTGGCACAGTCAGTCAAGTGTCCGAGTCTTGATTTCAGCTCAGGTCATGATCTCACCGTTTTTGAGATCGAGCCCTGAGCTGGGCTCTGCACTTATAGTGTGGAACCTCCTTGGGGTTCTCTCCCTCTCTCTGTCCCTCCCCTGCTCATGCTCTCACAAAAAAAAGCAGCTATGAGTAGTGAGGGCTCTGAGAAAATGCATCACCACTCACTGTATCTTATACTGTGGTCTCATCATTTTATGCACTGGAAGCAGACAAGTTAGGCATAAAATCTCACTCAAGTCATGGCTAGGACTGAGGCACTATGACAATTATAAAAAAACATACACGTGAAAGCCAGCCAGTTCATTTTGGTGTGACACTACAATCATTGGTCTCCTGTCAAATTCTTGCTTCATCTTACCTGTACACTAGAATTCTACATCGAAAGTCTTATCCATGACATTCCTTTAATATGCATGTCTAAAAAGAAAATATGGAGAGGCGCCTTGGTGGCTCGGTTGGTTAAGTGTCCAACTTCGGCTCAGGTAATGATCTCACTTGTTTGTGAATTTGGGCCCCACATCGGGCTCTGTGCTGACAGCTCGGAGCCTAGAGCCTGCTTTGGATTCTTGTCACCTTCTCTCTCTGCCCCTCCCCCTCTCACACTCTGTCTCTCTCTCTCTCTCTCAAAAATAAACATTAAAAATTTTAAAAAGAAATAAAAAGAAAATATGGGGAGATAGCGTCAGTTCCTTACCAGTTTTCATAGAGGGTGCAGAAGAAACGCTGCATTCTTTCCAAGACCGTTTTGTAGACAGGAGAGTCATTCAGTTCCAAGAGGGGCTGAGGTAATCCTATGGAGAAAGATGGGTCAGGAACATGCTGTTCTGCTGCCACGGGTCTTACCTGCCAACACCCTACAGCAGGCAGATATGGTTTGGAAGTGGGGGTGAGAAGTGCTGTAAATGCAAAACAGCTGGCTGAGTCTTCTACCAGCTGGAGGTGCTAAGAGCTTCCCTCAAAGTGACTGTTACAACACTGTTTTGGTGGGGAAAGGTGGAAACTATTTAAGTATGCAGGACTTCAGACTAGACCTGGGCACTCCAACTTTTGCTGGGGGGTTTCTCCAGATGGGACTTCTACCAAAACACACAATGACAGCTCAAAATGATCTCTCCAAAAGCACTGGGAATGCCCTCTTCCCTTTTTCAGTTGTGGAACCTCTTTTTCAAGCAACATTTTAAGCAAAAGCCCAAGATATATAGCAGATCAAAATGATCTGATCATGAAACTAATGAAACCCAAAATGAAAACTAATCATAGTATAATTTAAGAGTTCTATAAGGGGGCGCCTGGGTGGCGCAGTCGGTTAAGCGTCCGACTTCAGCCAGGTCACGATCTCGCGGTCCGTGAGTTCGAGCCCCGCGTCAGGCTCTGGGCTGATGGCTCAGAGCCTGGAGCCTGCTTCGGATTCTGTGACTCCCTCTCTCTCTGCCCCTCCCCCCTTCATGCTCTGTCTCTCTCTGTCCCAAAAATAAATAAACGTTGGAAAAAAAAAAAAAAGAGTTCTATAAGATCCAAAAGATCTATACATCCCATCAGAGACAGTTTTATATTTCAAGTCTTGCTCATGGCTGGAAGCTGCTAGAGGGGAACTATTTGTCCATTCTAGTACGTTTTGGGTCACCATCTATTTCTACAACAGGAATTCCTGGCTTAGTTTGAATGGCTGACTGGAGAGGAGGGTGATGGGTGGTAAAGCGACAGCTACTTTTTAAATTGATTGCAAGATATTTCTTGGAAGTTCTTCTTCTTTTTTTCCCCCTGTAATGTGGACCTTAATGCAGTGGTGCTACAGGAAATGGTCCAGGACCATGTAGGCCAAGACAGACACAAGTTCTGGAAAGGCAAACTAACACCCTTCCTTTCATGAATGTCACGGCTGGGGAATGCTCACTGCTTAATCACAACTAGGCCCAGGCAGAGGTTATGGCTGGGAATGAAGAGATACTGTGGGGACTGTGATGGTGAGCCAGCATGAAGCTTTCAAAATGGGCACACGGTTTATTTAGACAACACTGGATGTCTCTGGCTCTAACTTCTAACCACTGCCTTGCTCTCTATTCCAGCCACATGAGTCACCATTCTCTATTCCCTAGACATACCAAGTTCTTTCCTACATGCCTCAGGATCTTCTACCTGCCATTCTGCTTGCCCACAATGCTCAACATCTTCTCTTGCCCCCCAGCCTGATGAGATCTTTCCTACTCCTCCTTCAAGTCTCCACTAGGAGGTAGTCTTCTGACTCCTCTCCAACACTGGGTGAGGTCTCCCAATAAACACATGGCCACTTTCCTTCACAGCACATGTCACACGATTGCACAGTTATTTGCTAATGGGAAGAATGAGTTAAAGCAACATTCAAATCAAGGTAACAAATGGGAAACATGGTTTAGGATCTATTCCTTTGAAATTTTTGGTAACACATAATATTTTGCTAATTAAAGCAATTTGAACTTAACTATTTTAACACCTTTTTTCTTCACATATGAAAGCAGGAAAGTATGCTAATATCCTTCATGGCAGAAAACTGTGGTTTATTTATAATCTAAAGGCTCTGACACATGCCACTACACAGGGTTAACACAGGGGAGAAACAGCCCCCAAAGACCTCTATATGCTAAAATAATGAAGTAAACGCACTTGTTCCTAGAGACCCTGTAGGAACTCCATGACAAAAACAGTCAAGTAGTGCTAGGTGAGAAGGAGGTGATGACACACAGCACACTGAAGCTGCCTGAGGAGTCTGTGAGAGATAAGGCAAACTTCAAGACAAGAAAAAAAAAGTTAGATTTCTTACCCAAAATAGCAGATTTTTCCGCTTCAAGCATATCCAGAGCCTTTGTGAAAGGCTCTGCCATCTTTGCTAGCATTTCTGGTGCATATAAAGTATTGTGAGTTCTGCAAGAAACAAGGATACTATGTGAACTTTTCCTAGTCTGCTGCAGAAGGAAAGAATGGGTTTCACCTTGTAATTAGGGTGAAATACTTTACATAGACAGGATCTCCCTGTCAACACTGCTCCCTGCAGGGAAAAGAAAATAGGGTATAAACATTTAAATGTTTCCCTGGAAACAGGAATAGAGTATTTGGTTGTATAGTATTCAACACCTAGAAGCAATCAAGACGAGAAGCAAATCCTACAGACAGCTGGATGGCATCACAGTCTAAAGCCAGAAAGGGAAATTCTTTTAATCCTGAGACAATTGCCTAAACACTCCCAATTTGCAGACTGCAGGTGACATAGGATGAAATGTCAGAGGCACTGTGTTTTTATAGGCAGGAACACAGAGAAGGTAATAAAATGCCCCTACTTTTCAGATATTTGGGTCTCACTCTAAGAGCATGGACCCTAGAATGCTCTGACAGTTGTTTCTGCCTCCTCAAAGAAGAGTCACAGTTCCCAACATGAGACCAAAATGACTCACCGGAGCACTCACTGGCTATGCATGGCTAGGGAGCAATGACCATAGGCCCGAGCTACCTGCCATCCACAGATGTCAGCCCTCTTGCCCATAACCAATGGCACCACTGAACCATCTACAGCCAGAGAGCATATCTACTTATTTTTCTTCTAAAAGTTAATTATAAAAACATTTCAAACAGAGAGAAAATTACATAAGAGACACCATCAGGATTAAATATTTAAGCAGCACACCGACCAGATCATTTTAGACCATGCTTATTTAAGTTAAAAAAATGCTCAGCACTGTTTTCTTTTCCAGTTTTATTTAAGTAATCTCTGCACCCAACATGGGGCTCAAACTCATGACCCTGAGATCAAGAGTCGCATGCTCTTCTGAGCCAGCCAGGTACCCTCAACATTGTACATCTAACATTTACACTCAGTACAATCATTTAAACTTTTAGAATACCAATTAATTCCAGTATGTCTCCCCTGAGAGCTAGTAAGTTTACTGGTATGTTTACTCCCTGAGAGCTAGTAAGTTTGTCTCCATTTCTAGCAATGAGCTTTTCTGCAGAGGTATCCTTGGGTACATGTGCGAGAGTCTGTTGAATCACTGGATACTGGTGCTTTGCAACTCATGGGTTGCAGATACCTTCTCCCCATCTGTGGCTGACTTGCTTACATAGATATTTCCAGTAGGCTTTATGCCCCCCGTTTTTCCCATTTTGGTAAAATACATATAAAATTGAGCATTTTTTAAAAACATTTTTATTTTTAAGTAATCTCTACACTCAACGTGGGGCTTGAATTTAGAACCCTGAGATTAAGAGTTGCATGCTCTACCAACTGAGTCAGTCAGGCACCCCCAAATTTATCATTTTTAAGCATACAGTTCAGTGGTGCTACATACACTCATACTGTTGTGCAACCTTCACCACCCCCCCCCCCATTTTTGACTTATAAAACTGAAACTCTGTACCTGTTAAACAATATCTCCCCATTCCTCTCTCCCCCAGCTCCTGGCAACCATTATACTGTCTTTATGATTCTGACCATACTAAGCATCTTGTATAACTGGAACCATATAGGATCTGTCCTTTTGTGACTGGTTTATTTCACTTAGCACAATGTCCTCAAGGTTCATTAATGTTGTAGCATATTGAAGAATTTCCTTCCCTTTAAAAGCCGAATGATACTCTATGGCACCTAATCTATCACATTCATCCTCTGATGGGACACTTGAGTTGCTTCCACATTTTTTAAAAAAGATTTTATTTTTAAATAATCTCTATACCCAATGTGGGGCTCGAACTTACAACCCCGAGATCAAGAGTCACATGCTCTACTGACTGAGCCAGCCGGGGCACTCCTGCTTCCATGTTTTAGCTAGAGTGAATAGTCCTGCTATGAATTTGAGTATATAAATACCTCTTTGAGACCCTGCTTTCAATTCTTTTGAAAACTCACAACTGGAATTGTTGGATCATATAGCATTTTTTTTTTTTTGAGGAACTGTTCTTTTCTGCAGCAGCTGTACCATTTTATATACCCACCAACGCTGTACTCCCACGATTCATACTGTTTGAGTGACCACAGGTTCTTTAGGTTGTTACTTTTCCCTTAATCTTTTTTTTCATTTTCAGCCTCATTAATTTCCATTGTCCTATCTGCACTTCTTTAAAAAAAATATTTTAGTAATCTCTACACCCAATATGGGACTTGAACTCATGACCCTGAGATCAATAGTCACATGCTCCTCTGACTGAGCCAGCCAGGCATCCCTGCACTCTGCTGTTGAAATCCGCCTTTGAATCTCTCTAGTGAATTTTTCATTTCAGTTACTGTACTTCTCAGCTCTAGCATTTTTTTGCTTCCTTTTAGGTTTTGTTTATTGATATTACCATTTTGTTCACACATTATTTCTTTCTCCACATCTTTAATTCTTTGAGCATCTTTAAGACAGCTGTTTTATTTTCTTAATTAAAAATTTTTTTTAAATCTTTATTTATTTTTGAAAGAGAGAGAGAGAGCATAAATGGGGAAGGGGGAAGGAGATGCAGAATCTGAAGCAGGCTCCAGGCTCTGAGCTGTCAGCAAAAAGCCCAACGCGGGGCTTGAACCCATGAACTATGAGATCATGACCTGAGCCGAAGTCAGACACTCAACCGACTGAGCCACCCAGGCGCCCCAAGACAGCTGTTTTAAAGTCTTTGTCCAGTAGATCTCCCATTAGATCTTCTTCAGAGACTGATTCTGTTAATTGATTTTCTCCTCTGAATGGGTCATATTTTCCTGTTTCTTTGCATGCCTTCTGATTTTTTGGCTGAACACCAGACATTTGGGTCTAATGTTGTGGTTAATTCTGAAAATCATATTCTTCTCCTTCCCCATCCTGTTGTTTGATTGTTGTAGGCTATCTCTGTGCCAAAGATCCACTGAGGTATTAACTTAATGGTTTTTCAGGTCTTTTCTGAGCCTTTCCCTGGTCATGCATGACCACTTTTTAATTTTCCCCATATATGCGGTTGTTTTGGAATGCCCTAATCTTTAAAGTGTGGCTCACAAAAAGGAAAGCCAAAAAATGAAGGGGGGAAGGGACTGGCCCTTTAAATCTCCTCAATGTTACTTCAGTAGGAAGGGAAGAGGCTTACAACAATGGGAGAAGGTACAATAACCACTGCCAACTTCTGTATCTGCACCTCTGTGATCAGAAGCAGCAATCAGTGATCAGAGCACAGATCTCTAATATTTAGGGAGCTGGATCCATTTTGCTCACCCTGGCTCTGCAAGCTGTGTACAAACTGTTCCAGCAACACCAGCAGCCTGTCAAAGGGCTGGGGTCTGGGTACCTGCTACTGTGCTAGGAGCTGATATTGATTGAAATTACCACGATTTACTGTTCAAATCTTCCCCTGGAAGGTGCAAGCCTTCAAGATTCCAGAGTTCCAAAATCAACACAGATTCTGCCAATACAACTGTTCTCTAGATGGGGTGACAGATTCCTGGTGCTTCCTACTCTGTCATCTTCCTGGGCTTTAGTTTTTTTGTTGCTGTTGTTGACTTATTTATTTTGAGAGAGAAAAAGTGAGAACACGAGTGGGGGAGGGGCAGAAAGAGGGAGAGAGAATCCCAAGCAGGCTCCGTGCTGCCAGCGCAGAGTCCGACACAGGGCTTGAACTCACGAAACCGTGAGATCATTGACCTGAGCTGAAATCAAGAACTGGAGGTTTAACCAACTGAGCCACCCAGGCGCCCCCTCCTGGGCTTTTGTTTTAACACAAAGGTACTGACCTTTACCGTGATTTGTTTTTCTTGCATCTTGTTTAAGAAATCATTCACGGGGCAGGCAAATCTTTGACGGCCACATTAAAAAGGCTTCAGGAGCATTCAGAAAGGAGCAGTTAACTCTCATGGAGAGAATGAAGGGTCAGGTAACATTGGAGTTGAAGCCTGATGACTTAATAGGCATTTGAGGCAAAGAAGAGGAAAGGTGAGGGGGAACAGCATGAGCAAAGGTGAGCAAGAGGATGGCACACTTAGAAACAAGGTGGGGGCTGATACGCATATATTGCACACTAGTCTCATAGCCCTCCTCCTGTACCAAGGCAGGGGTAGAGGAAACTGCATCCTAAGTTGTGGCCTTGTGGTCATTCTTTAATTTATCTGAGCTTTCTGAGCCTGCCTGTGGCCTAGAGTCACTAAGCCATGGGCATGGATACACTAATAACCAATTGTTGAATTGCTGCTAAATGCAGTTGTGCCCCAAGGTTGTGCTCATTTCCTGGAATGAGGAGTAACACAAAAGACTACATTTTTCCTTTTAAAGATTTTATTTTTAAGTAATCTCTACACCCAATGTGGAGCTTGAACTCACAACCTCAAGATCAGGAATCACATGCTCCACCAACGGAGCCAGCCAGGCGCCCTGAAAATTAATCATTTTGAAATGTATACAATTCAGTGGTATTTATGACATTCACAATGTTGTGCAATAACCAGCTCAACTTTTAAAGGTTTCACACCAGGGAACTATAGGGGCCAAGGACAGATCACATTCTTCCCCCATAACCATTAAGTAGAATAGTTACAGGGGGCCTGGGTGGCTCAGTTGGTTAAGCATCCTACTCTTGATCTTGGCTCAGGTTATGATCTCACGGTTTGTGAGATGGAGCCCTACATCAGGCTCAGTGCTGTCAGTGTGAAGCCTGCTTGGGATTCTTTCTCCCTCTGCCTTCCCCTGTACACTTGCACTAAAAATGTAGGAACAATTAAGTAGTAGCAGGTTATCTCCATTTCTCCCTTCCCGCAACTTCTGGCAACCACCAATTTACTGTTTCTATAGATTTACCTATTCTAGATATTTCACACAAAGGGAATTACACAATAGTGGTCTTCTGTGTCTGGCTTCTTTCACTTAGCATAATGTTTTCAAGATTCAGCTACATTATAAAATGCTAACAGTACTTCATTCCTTCTTATGGCTGAACAAAAT